TAATATATTAGCAAAATTTCAATACTATTTTTTTGATTTAATTTTTTATAAATAACAATTGTTTTTTTGAATTTGTCTAGGTTTTGCCATTTTGCTGGCAAGTATAACTATAATAGTTGGAAATGACTAGATGAAGAAGGCTCGAGCATGCTTAGATTGGGAGTCTTGTGAGTTAATGATACAAGACAGCAATAAGAAGATAAAGGTGCTGACAGAATATTGTAATCCAACCTACATCCAGGATCGAATCCATACAGAAAACAAAAAAAGAGAAAAGGAAGCTAAAAAGTAAGAAGAAGGTTCTGATGACAATGTTGGTATTAGTGATAACAATGATGAATCAGAGATTAACAATGAGGATAAGTATGATGAAGAAGAAGGGCTGGTAAATCAAATGTATTTGTATTTCAGGTTTTATCTTATAAAGGAGGAGACTGATGCTTTGTGCAGAATATGCTTAAGGAAGAGACACTATGAATCAGAGTGTATGTGAAATGAATTTGTAAACCAGAAAGGAAACCCTATAAGGAGAGAAGAAAGACAGATGATTTCAAGCTAGAGAATATGACTCTTGTACAGCAAGAACAAATAAAAGAGATATCAAGTCAGTATGGAGATATTTTCACTCATGAACCAGACCAGCTAGAAAGAACATCTATTATGCAATATGAGATTCATACTGAGAAAGTTACCCTGTAAAGCAACGGTTCTATTTCATGTCCAAGATGGAGCATGAGTTTATTGGCCAAGAAATTAAGAGAATGAAGAAAGCTAGGTTAATCTGATCATCATGCAGTCCGTGGGCATCTTATGTCATATTGGTAAGAAAGAAAAATGGGAAAATAAGGCTGTATGTTAACTTTCAAAAGCTGAATTAATGAATGAACTGTGATAGCTAACCCTTTCTGAGAATTAATGAGTTATTAGGAGCCCTCAAGAACTTGAGCTGGTATACTACCCTGGACCTTGCTAGTGGATTCTGGCAGGTCAGAGTCCATTCATGTGATTGTGAAAGGATGACCTTTACAACAAGATTTGGGCTCTACAAATTTGTAGTAATGCCTTTCAGCCTAATAAATGCCTTTGCCACTTTTTAGCGATTAATGGATCATGTATCCAAAAGAAAATGTGAGACTTTGTTTTGGCCTATATAGATGATGTCAACATCTACTTCTCCAGTTTCGAAAAATACTTGAGCCACATGGATGTGTTCTTAGTAAACTGCACCAAGTGAATCTAAAGTTAAATCTAAACAAGTGTTATTTTGGACAAGACCAAATAGAGTTCCTGAGAAATGAAACTTCTGGCAAAGGTATAACCTCAACTATAACAAAAGTAGCTGCTGTGAGTAACTTTCTCAGACCCAAGAACCTTTGCACATTAAGAGGGTTTCTAGGTTTGGCTAGCTTCTATTGTCACTTCATTAAAGATTTCTCAGGTATAGTCACACCCTTCTACAAACTATTGAAAATAGGAGAAAATTTCACCTGAAAAAAGCAGCAACAAGAAGTGATTGATGAATTGAAAAATAGGCTCACTTCAGCCCCCATTCTTACTCATCCTCAAGACAACGTTGGATTTGTTTTGTATACAGATGCATCACACTTTGCTTTTTGTGCTATTTTATCTCAGTCTGATAATAATGGGCTTAAAGATGTTGTGGAGTATGCCAGTCGATCAACAAAGCCTGTTGAGCAGAAGTACATAATAATTGAATTAGAGTGTACCACTATTGTTTGGGCTGTAAAGAAGTTTCACCAATACCTCTACAGATTCCAATTTACAATAGTAACTGATCATATGGCTTTGACCTACCTTAACAATATGGCTAACCTTACCAGTAGGATGGTGAGATATATCATGACTCTTCAGAGCTATAATTTTGTGATAAAGTACTGACCTGGGAGGCAATTAGGGAACATTGACAGGCTATCACAAGTAGAGGAGTTTGAGTGAAAAAAATAAATACAAAAAAAATAAAAAAAAATTTTAATAAAATAATAACAAAAAAATATATATATATCCCTTAAACTGTAAACCATTTTCAGATAAATTTGTCTGGAAAATTAACAAAAATATACTTATGATCTATATTTTTTAAATTTTAAAATATTTAAATAAAATTTT